ATTAAATGTGTTTAAAATTAACATATTCCTCGTCATACAGTTCATGTATCACATAAAACATGGACTGTCTCCAGCAATATTCTATCCTTATTTTAAAGAAGTAAGCCATAAATACCCCACCAAGTTCTCAGAAAATAACTTTGTAACTCAAAAGTATAATCTAAAGTTATGTTCTTATTCTATTCAGTACAGGGGTCCAATCTTGTGGAAAAACTTTCAGCATATTGTTAATATTAAAGAAACAAACACTTCCGCAATTCAAATCTAAATTAAGACGTTATTAAGTACTTACGGATTTTAATATAGCAGATCTATGTCACTTTTAAAGCTTTAAAATTTATTAAACTAAATTAGCACCATAAATTTAAAAATCTAGACCATTTATCAGTACTAAGAATTCCAATGTCTTTATCATACTTTCATTGAATATATATATTCTCTTAAAGTTACCTACAATTTTCTTGATATATTTTATAACATTGGAACAGAATTTTTATTTGAATTTTGAATTATTTTGAAAGAAAATAATATATACAAATATATATGTCGAATCACATCCAATTTATAACCAAAAACAGAAAATTTTTGTCATTTTTATTACTATATTTTAATCATTTATTTTTATTTTTTTTATTTTTCTTCAATTATTTTAATACTTTTTTTTTTTCTTTTTTCTTTTTAACTTTGTTTCTTAACATTTTAAATTGTTTTTTTTTAAATACTTTTGCTTATATATTACGGATTATTGTGTATTACGGATATTTATTTGCATTACTATTGGGGCTCGGTGATAAGGCTATTTTATGCCTTCTTCTTGCTCCAGCCAATTGTACTTTTTATATTGTTGTACTTTGTAAATATTTTTAACGGCGAAATAAACTAATAAACTAAACTAAACAAATAAACTAATGCATACTAATCATTACAAGCAATTGACCATCAATATATACTTATCAATACAAGCAATTGACCATCAATACAAACTAATCAATACAAGCATCTGATCATCAATACAAACTAATAGCAACGTAAACGTTTATTAAAATTGTATTTTTAAAGGATTTAAATATTCTTACAAAAAATACTCTCAAATAAAATTTTTAATGACATCTTTAAAGAGTTTATTGATGTGTAACTTAATTAAAAACTTCTTTTATGGATTAAAGCAATGGCCCGGAGCTATTTTAAAGCAGGAAGCCCCTTTTCATGTCAGCATTGGATACTTAGTATATAAAAAATAGAATGCAAAAACAAAAACAAATCAATGTTAGTTACATATTAGTCTTTAAATCGCTGACATATTTACAACAAAAAATAAACCTCAATAAATTTATAGGAAATGGTTTACTAACTAAACCTGGTGAAACCAAGTAAAATTTAAAAACAAGAATTGCAGTATCGCACAGTGAGCCAAGATCGACACAAAATGGACAAAAAATCTTAATTCCTTTATTTTTAAAGTTGACAAATTGAAATTTTTATCAGCAATTCTAGTCATTATGAAGATCTTTTTAAAAAAAAAATAATTGTTTTTTTTTGAAGATGCAGACAATCTAAACACTCAAATAGAAAAGGGTGTAAAAGGCGTTAGAGATTTTAGACATTTAATTGTTTTTAGAAACAGTTTTTCCCAGATTCGAAGCATTAATTAATTAAAATGTTTGCTACGTGTTAGACCCCTTTTTATAAACCAAGAAAAATTTATTTATTAGTTTACTTTATCAGAAATCAGAGTCAAAATATACAAAACTTAAAATTAAAATAAATTTAAAATATAAGTTTAATACAATCTTTCTTAAGTTCAAGTTCTTTAATACATCTCGAACTCCTACTTAGAGAGGTAATAATTTGATCTGAACGGCACTATAATCTTCGCATAACATCTTCATTAGTGACTTTTCTTGAATATTTTCTCGTAGAGTGTTCTCTATAAATTTTGATGTCTTTATTTCAACATTCCTAAGCTTCCTCAGAAAGAAGACCTACTGGTACTAGTTAAACTTTTACACCTTGAGAACTAGGAATTAGAATTTTATGTACAACTTGAGGCTTTGAGAACCATGGGTACAGAAAAACGTAAAGCTCTGCTGTTTCTTTGGTATATTTTTAAAATTCATCAGCGTTAATTTGATGTTTGCACAATAAAACACAAAGAATTACGTAGAAACGTTTCATGAGAGTATTTTAGGAGACACCTTATAGCTTCGGAGTACTTTTCGTGCTGTGTTTCCATCATTTGTTGTACACGAACCGCTGCTTTTTAGTACATCTACAATTAAACCTAAATGATTTTTCATCTTTTGTTGAACAATAATATTTTTTTTATAACAATTTCTTTAGCATCCTTTCCCCTAACTTGCCAATTTTCTAATTCAATTCTATAACTTATATGAAGACAGCATTTTCTAATTTTCTAATTCAATTCTATAACTTATATGAAGGCAGAAAATCAGAACGGGGACTTGGACAGACAGGTAATAAATGGAAACTTAAACTAAGCATCATATAACTCAAATAATTATTAGATAGAAAAATTGTATCAATCATTAGTTATGGTGCAGCAAAAAAGTTTTTTTTTTAAGATTTTTTGTTTTAATACTGTGATCATCAGTTTTACTGAGACGACATGCTATGAAATATTTATGCAACAAAACGCTTTTTCTTATCTCTGAATACTCTAAAAAAGCAAGTGCAAATTTAGTGTTTTGACAACGCAGATGTAATTGAAATATCATACAATGTTGATATGATGATCTCACCAAAATTAATATATATATATATATATATATATATATATATATATATATATATATATATATATATGTAATTGAAATATCATATATATATATATATATATATATATATATATATATATATATATATATATATATATATATATATATATATATATATATATATATATATGTAATTGAAATATCATATATATATATATATATATATATATATATATATATATATATATATATATATATATATATATATATATATATATATGTAATTGAAATATCATATATATATATATATATATATATATATATATATATATATATATATATATATGTAATTGAAATATCATATATATATATATATATATATATATATATATATATATATATATATATATATATATATATATATATGTAATTGAAATATCATATATATATATATATATATATATATATATATATATATATATGTAATTGAAATATCATATATATATATATATATATATATATATATATATATATATATATATATATATATATATATATATATATATATATATATATATATATATATATATATTGCATGGTTTCTTGTTTACCTTTTTTTGCAATTACTATTTCTAATTTCAATCATTTTCATATCGTTTTTTCAATAACTATTGAGAACAAACTTTTTATTATTACAGCAATAAATCAATGCAAAAAGATGCTGTCTGATGCTAAGCTCTAATATTCTTAGTTTACTAAATTTCGTATCTTATTTGAGAAGTTAGGTTTTAAAGGCTTTTTGAAAAAATCTTAAACAGTGTCATTAAAAAAGGTTTTAAACACGCCATCTGTTATACATGGATCTAATCATGTAACATAAAATAAAACATCTCTACAACCTGTGGTCAAACAACATTCTTGTCATTGTCTTACAAAAGTATTTTTGAGAATTCTTTTCAATTTTCTCTAAACTATTAATAATTAAGTACTTAACTGAATCTTGTTTTTCTGCCTGCTGGAAAATAGCCAATTGATTCTATTTTTTTATAACTCTGGAGAACCTACTCCTCTAACTATGTTCCAATCAGTCTCCTTATTTTTAGAAGGATTCTTGAGTCTTTAATCAACAAATTTCTAATATCACATTTTGAGCCTAACAAATTACTCTCTGACAATCAATAAGGATTTTAATCATCGTGTTCTACAGCTGACTAGCTAATAGCAAAATGTTTTTATCGCGCAATATATAGAGGCAGCGAGACAAAAGCTCGATATATCAAAAGCAATTGGCATATCAAAAACTTTCAATAAAGTTTGGCATTCTGTTCATAAGCTTGTTTCATGTAAGGTATTATGTACGGTATCTGTGGAAGTTTTTAGGGTTATTTAATCATTTATTTCTAGCCGCAGTATTAAAAGTTGTCCTTTAAAACCAAAATTCTTTATTTTTAGTAACTTCTTGGATATTGCAAGGTTTTATCTGAGGTCCAATGTTGTATATTATTTACATTGATAATCTTCTTAAAAATCTTATCTCAGAAAGTGGCTATTTGCCAACGATTCGATTTTTTGCTCCTGTCTTGACAAAAACCTTTCCCTTTTTGATTGCTTGGAACGTGCAACGGATCTCTATTCTGTAAACACATGAGGCTTGCAGTGTCTTTTGAATTTTAACTTGAAAAAAACTTAGCTATTTACTGCAAAGAACTTTCACATTGTTCTCGACATTCCTATAATGACGAAGGGCACTAAGTTCTCTACTTTACGTCTGCTTTACGTCTTCTGGGATATCATTCACTATTGACCTCTTATAGAAACCATATATACAATTGATTGGAAAGTTACATCTGCTAACAAATCTCTTATTAGCCCCTGAATGTAACACTATTGTCAAATTTGGTTCTTCTAACAATATTTTTTTCCCAGTATAAAAAAAAGGATAAAAATTTTTTTTTTTTTATTTTTTAAAAAAGCATTTAAAATATTTTTTGGTTTGGTATTTTCAATTATGACTTATTGCTTGCATAATTTATTGTTTCTATTATAAAAAAAGAAGAAATAATTAAGGATATAAAATGATTGATAAAAAACACAAAATTAAAAATTAAAAAGGTAAAAGTTATCTGTTGACTTGTTCATCTGATAATCTGTATTTCTTATCTGATTATCAGTATTTGTCATCAGAACGCAGTACTTGTTTTCTGATGATCATAATTTGTCATCTGATGATCGGTAGACATTTTAATTAAACTTTTTTTTTTTCAGGAAGCTCTTCAGAGGAATCTACCATCTGGTGTTTGTTTTCGTTTTAATCAACTTTACAAAGAAATTCTTACAGTTTTTGTAAAAAGTCTGTGGATAAAAAATAATGCCGCAATTATTGAAAACAGCTACTGTTCAAAAATCTTTTTACATACAATCTTAAAAGATCTTGAAACAAGTAACAACTCAAATATCGCACTTAGTTGGACACTAATTGCTATCGACTTTAGGAAAGACAATAACACAATCATCTTTGAGAAACTTTATCCACTAAGAACCATTCTTGTCAATATAGTAGTAGTATTAACTCCTATAGAACACTTTAGTAAGATAACGAGCCATTTAAATCTCATAAATTCTCCGAGCATTTGGTTAATTCCAGACTATGAGAAAAATGTGACGTTATTTCAAAATTTTCAGAAGGTTATATACTTTGATATATCAGATAATTTTGAATTACTATTTTATTCGCAAACAAACTTATCTCTTCATTCGCTTTTAAATACCTATGAAGAAAGTTTAAACAACTCAAAGTAAGTTTTCTCTACACTTTTTGTTACTCTACACTTCATAACTAAAGATATACATGTTTATATTTTAAAATAAGAGTTATTTAGTTAAATGAATCCATTTAATAAATATTAACAAATTTTGAATTAAATATTTATTATGCTTACATGACCAAAAGAATTAGGCATTGATTTTTTTTAAAAACAAGGTCTGAAGTCCTTTTTGTTTTGTCGGTTTTATAGTGTTTTGAAAAAATGAGAAGAAGAAAATTAAAATTTAAAACAAAAATTATTCTTGAACTCGTTTATTTTAATTTATTGGGTGTTTTCGAGACCAATCTTGACAACCATTTGAGACTTATGCGATAATATCTAACTAAAATTCATAAATTTTTCATTTTCACTTTTTTTTTCCATATTTTTCTTGTTCTTTTTTATAACATGTATTTTCTACTAATATTTGCCTCTGGGTGAGCCTTTGATACTAAAATAAGTAATGTACCGAATACACATATGACCAAAAAGTTTGTTTTTTAATTTTATTTTGGTAAGAAGTTTTACAGCAATCATTAAAATGTTTGTTAAATTTTATTTAAAAGTTGTTATTTTCATGTTTTGCAAAGATCAAGGCAAAATTTAAATAGAATTGACTTTTAAACGAGAAAATACATAAACTGAGATGCAATTTAGCTGATAATCATAGTTTTTTTAAAATTTATATGTGTATATATATGAAAATAATATGTGTATACATATAAAAATTCTAAACTTATTATATTCTAAGAGCCCGTGGCCACCAGACCTACGTTGCTTTATAAACGCTAAAAATTTTCAGCACAAGCTTCCATCACAAGTAGATAAACTATGGTCAACAATGGTCAACGATGGTCAACGATGGTCAACGATGGTCAACGATGGTCAACGATGGTCAACGATGGTCAACTATGTACTTTAGATTATGATGGTTTTAGCTGCTAACAGGTACTAAAGATGTTAAAAGTACTGGTCAAATTAGTTCTCATTATAATCATTTTCTTATAATTTTCTTCGCAGTAGTATTAGAAATCATGCCATCCATCGCCAGACACTTATCGTGGTGGCAACTTCTTGCCAGACACCCTTAAACTTCAAGAGTTTGTAACGGTACTTACATTATACTATAAAAGTGGACATTTATACATGTTACTAGATAATACATGGACGTTATACAGGTTAATTGGCTAACTATTAGAAAATAATTAGCCATAAAAACGTTAGAGCGAAAATCTTAGTTACGTAACTCAACTGAAAATACAGTGAATTCTTGTCAAATATGGTTAACACGAACTTATGTTTCATTTGGTCCCTTAAAATTGTCTATTTGATTACTATTAAAATTCTCCTGATAAGCCGAACCTCGGATAACTCAAACTTTGGTAAGTCAAACTGATATTTTGTCCTCTTTCAAGAAATTATTTTGGTTAACTCGAACTTTTTGTATAGGATATTTGGAAATCAAAATTACTTAAATATTTTTGATTAAATATTTTTTGAAGTCGTTCCATGTAAAACATAATACCAGTAGCCTAATATTTTCTATATCTTTCTGTTTAATTTATTTCTCATTATCAGTTTGATTACATCGTCTTATAACAATAATATAAGTTCGTTATCAGATGTAAAATGAATTATAAATAAAACTGTTACAAAACAAATCATAACACAATGACGTTTGAAAGGCAATTATTTTATAGTTTTAATGAACTTCCTAATGCAAGTCAGTTAGCTTTTAGACGCAATTTTATTTCCAAATAATAAGGAAGTCTTTGTATCAGTGCCGACAACACCGGGGGAAAGGGAGAGGAGCCAGGGGGAACTTTTTTCTTTTCTAGATATAGAGGACTTTATGATTGTGCCCCTCTACTTTGGAACCCGTGTCGACGGCCCTGTGTTAAACTTTTTTTAAAGTAATAGCATTAAAAAAAGTTATAAAAAAAGATAATTATCTTTTGAGTGTATAGCGTGAATATAATACTTAACTTTTTTCTCTAAAACATTTTTCACTTTTTTGTAAGTATAATGGCATATATTTTGTGAGTATAATGGCATATATCTATTGTCAATACTTCAGCATTAAAGCCACCTTAACTCAAAATAGTATCTCATATCAACCATAGTTCGACCTGACGGGCATTCGCTTTAGTCAAATTTCATCGAACCATTTTCCTTGGTCCCCAGGGCCAACGACACGGGTTTCGAAATGAAAGAGTACAATCGCCAATTTCTAAAAAAAGCCCTCTATATCTAAAAATTTCTAAAAAAATTGAAATTTGTAGAGTTAGAAAGAAAATTGTTATAAAATGAAAACCATTAATAGACATTTTTTTCAAAATAAGAAAAAAAAAACAATTGCAATAACTGTAAAGGAAAAAGTTTTGAAAACATTTATATCAAAGACAAAAAAAAATTAAAAACTTAAAATAAATATACTGCCTGTCCAAACAAAAACATTCACTCACTGTACAAACACTCCAATGTGTTAATTACTATTTAATTCCGCCGATGTCTAAAGTCTTATTTTTGAATATATTTAAACTACAATTATTATAATAAAATTATTCATAGATGATTAACTTTAATTATTAATAAAAAAAAGTTAGCTTATTGGTATGGAACGCCAAAGCTGCCTTAAGTGCGTTCAGTTCATTATGCAAAGTGCTCACTACATTATTTGTGGAGCTTATTGCATTTTACGATGTGGTGACTACATTATGATGCGCTCATTATGCATACATAATGATGCGCTCATTATACGATGTGGTGATTACATTATACGCAGCGCTAACTTCATTATATGCTGTCCTCACTACATTATATGATGTGCAACTACATTATATAATGTGCACATTATATGATGCGGTCATTACATTATATGATGTGATAATGTATTATATGAAATGCTACATTATGTGTTATGTTCACTTTATTATATTATGCGCTCATTACTTTATATGATGTGCTCACTATTAGTCGATGACAACATTATATGATGTGTTCTCTACATTATACAGAGAAGTTTTAAAGGAGGGTGAAATTTAGAAAAGGGGGGTTTTTATAAAATATATATTTAACTTTTAAAAATGGCATCCTTTGTAGCAGGTAATGAGATAAATAATATTGGTTTAATGTTTTAAAAAATATTGGTTTACAAAATTTCATAAACGGATTTAAAACAGAAAGATTTGATACATTGTCAGTTTTAGCTGCATCTAATGAGGAGCTATCTAGACTTGGAGTTATCACACTTGGTGTAAAATCAGACTTAAAAATTCTTGTAGAAACAAGCAGCAACAACAAGCAAGAAAATGTACCTTGTCATCGCTAGACGATGTAAATCAAAATGAAAATTTTACTTTTTCATCAGCGTTAAATCTCGGAAGATTTCAAGCAAGGATATCTGAAAGAGATTGTTTGTTAGGGGGAAGAAGAGTGAGAGGGAGTGAAGGTATTTTTCAAAAATATTTAGTAAAAACTAGTTTTGACTAGTTACAAATTCTACATAGTTAATGTTGTAAGTAAAGGGTGAACGAAGAAACAATAATATACTTTTTTTATCTTTTTATCAACTAAACAAATAGAAATATTAATAAAACAACGACAATAATAATAATTTTTAATATTATTAAAATCACCCTGACATCTTTAAAATATCAAGTAGTTGATTGTTTAAAGATCCAATCGATTCGGAGTAGTGCGCTTTCGTGTAGATCGTCTAAGTAACATTTCACTTTCATTTTTATTGGACGCGGGACATGGATAATCTGGGGGATCAATTAACATAGCCTTATCTTGTTCTAGTACATAATGTGCAGTAGATTGGGAATCAATTAACATAGACTTATCTTGTTCCTGTACATGATGTGCAGATTGCTCTGGTGCGATTATGTGTAGATTGATAGATGGATAATCTGGGGGATCAATTAACATAGCCTTATCTTGTTCTAGTACATAATGTGCAGTAGATTTGGAATCAATTAACATAGACTTATCTTGTTCCTGTACATGATGTTTAGATTGCTCTGGTGCGATTAGATTAGATATTCTTAACGTGTCTACAGGCGATTCTTGAGTTAGTGGTGCAAGATGGCGAATAGAAACTGTAGACTCACAACCACTGGCATGCCCAATAAGCGCATATTGTGGATTTGCTTCAATCAAAAATACCTTATCTACATCAAATTCATACTTAGAATTTCTAACATGTCTCTTTAACAACGCCTTTCCAGGTTGCGCGAGCCATGATGGGGTAGAGTGTCCCATAGCAGAGCGTCTTTAATATGTAAGGAATCTCTCATGAGGAGTTTCATTAGTAGCAGTGTTGATTAAAGACCAGATGGAATGAAGTGCATGATATCAGGTATGATAACGATCCAATATTTAATATCAAGGTTTCGTGATTTTAAGGCTAGTTTGATTGTTTTCATGATAATACCATTGTACCGTTCTGCCGTTACGCGTAATAAATGATTTAATACTTGAAGAGTCTAAAGGAAAAGATTTAACTTTAACTAACGGGGCAATATTTTTAGCGAAATGAGGAATCCAGCGTGAATAGTACGAAAATAAGCCTAATGTTCGCTTAAGCGATTTTGTATCAACAAGTACCGGTAATTCTCGAAGTGGTCGGAGTCGTTCAGTGTCTGGCTTGATTTGTTGATGACTGACTTCATAACCAAGAAGATTCAGGGATATGGTAGTGAAACACACTTTTCATTGTTGTAAGTTAAGCTCTTCGTCTTAGCAGCTAAAAGGAAGCGCTTTAAGTTGTAGTCGTGTTCTTCTTGTGTTCTTCATACCACAGATTGTCAAATTATCAAGATAAGCAAAAATATGTTTCAATTTCTCTTTGGCAATAAAATTATCTATTGTTTTTTGGAACTGTGCCACTCCATTTGTTACACCAAATGGCATACGAGTAAACTGATGCAAGCCACCGTCGGCTGTGACGTTCGGCCACCAGGGTGACGTTGAAGGTTCAATAAATC